ACTAAAATGAAATATCAACAAATTGTCTAAAGGAGAAATTAGAAATAGCCTTAAAGACTATGACACTGCAAGAACGCTTTTTTTGTTCCCTTATTTGTCAAAATATTTTGGCTTTATTCTTAAAACCTTTTTCCTTAATATTCTTTCATTTTATTCCACTTAGAGATTTGACTTTTCTCTCAAAATTTAATGCATTTCCTTGTAAATTGCTTTATTTAGTTCTGCAAATATTTACATAGTTAATGGTTAGAGTTCCTTTTTTAAATATGAAAACTATCAAAAACAACACAATTTTCACAATATTACATTTTGTTGCATAATTTTCTTATAATTCTGAAAATGTTAAGACTTTATTTTGGCTTCTTAAAGCTTTGGACTATTTTCTCTCAACGTTAGGGCTTTTTTTTTCTCAAAATATTTGCAATTCATCCTCAAATTCTCAGATGTTTTTGTTTTTCTGGCCCTAATTCTCATGAGACTGACTGCTTGAAGTACAGGAGCACCACACACACACACACACACACACACACACTGTGGTACATACATTACTCCACCTTCATAAACTATTCAATCCTTGTGGGGATTTTAATGCTTTCTGTGTTCCAGCCTCAAACATGGACTGACAATGAATTCAATTAGTCTGTTTTTGTCAACAAAACAGCCAATGATGGCAAAGAGAAAACCTTACTGAATTAGGCAAATGTATACAGAAGTATTTCATTAAAGTATTCAAGGATTCCCCGACCAGAGATACCTCAAGGACATTGGAAGAGATTTCGGAGCTGCTTAATTAAACTTTTACTCTTTTTTGACTCCAAACGCCTTCCGCGTTGGTCTGCGTATGAACTGTTTATCAGTAGGTCAGTGTCTCAAATGTGCTAATTTAATGATTTTAAATTCCCCCTGCGATAACAGGAAACATGGAACGGTTTCCCTAAGGCGTCGTCTTGTTCTCCCTCCGACTTCCTCCTCCCTGAAAAAATTATCCAAACAGATGGAAGATTGAGGGCTTTTTTTCCCCTTGCTTGCTAATCCACCCCTGACTGAGCCTTAGCCTCATTAAAGAAACCCGACACTGATTGAACCGCCTGTCAACCCCCCCAAGTCCTGACAAAAACCTCTTTGTTGTCGTCTCCTCCACTGTCTGTCTTGTCTGTCTGTCTGCTCCTCTATTAATAGTAAAAGGTGCAGGGGAAAGGCGGCAGCACTGCGCTCAAAGGTCGAGGCACAGTGGAGGAGTGGAGGCTCGGATGGATGTCTGCAGCGATACATGGTAGTAAATTACAAGTGTGTACATGGATGCAGGGATAACAAATGCATCAGGGTGGTCACAGTGTTTGCCGGGCGTTTGGCTGTGTCCCCGCCCAGAGCTTTGACAAAGCTCACTATGTTTTTTTTAGGAATCACCATTCCAAACAGGCAGCAGAAATAGCGAAAGGCTTCTTTGTGTGACCCCCAGGGTCAGAGAGGTGTGTTTTACGAATGCCTTCTACAGAGGGGTTGAAAGTAAAGCCCTTCGAGGCTATGTGAGTATTTTAATTCAACACAGTTCATATACCTTCTTTCCAGCAAACACCAACTCTGGTTTGGTCAAAATAAACCCTTAATTTACAGAGTTAGATGTGAACTATTCTTGAAAAGGGCTGCAATGGCCACGATGTCAGCTAATGTTAATCCTTGGGGACAAATGCGCTTGTCAAAGTACGTCCACTAAAAGTAGTTGTTTCTGCTACTGACAGGCTCAGATTGTTATTCTAAGTGTCTGACAACATTTTTGAAAGGATCCCTACAGAGATGGACCTTTTGTTAAACCAGAAAGTCGTATTATCGCTGTCACTCGCCACCAGACTCCAAAGACAAAACAAAACCTCTCAGAGCATTATAACATTGTATATTTATCTTTTAGGGCAGATATGTGGCACCAAACTATAATAATACTTCTGGTCATTGTTTAATAGCCAAATTGAGATCCTGGAAAATTATTGCCACCATTCTCCCTCTGCTCAGGCATCAGTTCAGTGTTTTTGCTGTGGTATTTTGGTCATCACATCTTTTAAGAGGAAATTATAAAAAAAGTGGTATGATCATTATGGCCTTTTGTAGTGTCAGGGTTCTTATTTTTGTGTCTGTCAGCAGCAGTGGATTTGTTGTTGACGAGATCCCTCAATCCGAACAGCTGGGTGTAACTATACTACGCAGGACCCAGAAAGTTTAGCCTGCTTTGACTTGGATTGCAGATTTGTGTATCTTTTTCAATACTTGTACTTTTTCATTTTTCATGTTTGTTGGAAACCAATCAGAGTCAGAGTAATAATCAATACATACATTTCACTTATTGATCTTATGATGCCTGAAAAAGCTGAATATTGCTACATTTTACTGTTGATTTCAATGCATGAAACCAAAAAAATATTGGAAAACTACACTTTCTTTGCACCAGTCCTAGTTTGAGCAGATGTTATTGCTCAGAGAAGTCAGAAAAAAAGAAAGAAAATGTGTACTACCTAGTAAAAGAAGAATATTGTTTTGTTATGTTGGCATAACAGTTTCCACTCAAGGTCTATGTGTATGCTTGTTCAGGAGCTTTCAAATATCAGACAGTCTTCAGCAGACAAAGTTTGCTTAGTTGTCATATGGCTCAAACTCAATTATAAAAGTCAAATATAAAAAATAAATAAGTAAAAAACTTTAAAACAACTTTATCCCCCTGAGGCTGTTTTAAAACCCTTTCTGGTGGTGAAATAATAAATTCCCTTTTATCTAAATATTTAAAAAATAGTTTTCCCATGCCTTAAATTAGTCAAATTTGAAGATATGAAATCCTAAAAGTATCAAAACCAGCCTTTAAAAGACCCACCATGTGTAATTTGTGCATATTTGTGGAATATAAAGTTCTCCTCAGGCAATGTCTTTTCAACTCTGTGGTCCCATTTTGCAGCATAAGCTGTCTGTTGAAAATCTGTACTTTTAGCTGAAATAACCCCAGTGGCATTATCACGGTTATTTTGTCTGACTTAACAAAGCTCCCCCAGAGCCGCAGAAAACATTATATAAACCTTATACAGGAGGAGTGCTCCTCAAGATGAGTAAATGCCCCTTTACACTGTGATTTTGGGCTGTTAACAAATGTGAGACAAACGTAGTAAAATATTTGCTCGTCAAGCTCCATGTCTGAGTAAAAACTTAGCATGCTGTCGGCATGAGTCGGCATCCGTCATACAATCTGACAGCCTCAGAACTGATACAACATGACACAGATTGCAATCAAGAGATGTACTGAACTTGCAAGATTCTTCTCATCGTGCAGTGTATAGATGCCATAAAGTGACTTTCATTTGTAAAATCAGTGTCCCTTTAAATCCCCCATAATCCCCCCAAAAAAGTGTGGACATGAGTTTAGTGTTCAGTGAGGAAATATAGGCAGTAATTTGTACTTTTTAAGAAAATAAATTGGGGTCCTCAGGGACTCCAGTCAAAAGCACCCAATTGACCCTTCCTAAATCCTCTTGGAAGCTAGGTCAACTTTCCCCCTTTCTGTACTCTGTACTAGATATGCTATGTGCTAGGATCGTCTTGAAAATACAATCACATTTTAACGATGGTTAAAAGATAAAAGCAACATATAGTATGTGACATATAGTCACACCTAAAGTTAACTAATGTTAGCAAAATGCTAGCTTACTAGCTTATTAGCTACTAATTTGCTAACATTACCAGAACATCAGATGTCAGTAGCAATCTAACTAATCTGTCTAACTATCTAGGTCAAGATTATTGTATTTTGGTTTAAAGATAAAAGCTACATTAATTGTTAGTTAGGTAATTAGCTAGAGAGTTTAGTAAACATTATCCTAGCTATCAGCTAACTAGCTAACAAACAATGTAGGTTAGCTAGTTAGTTAGCTACGGTTTTGCTCTGTCAAACAATCAAACTGGATTCAAAGCTTTTTGACTGCAGCCAAATGCTTTATAGGTTGGACAGCAGTTATGTAGTTATTGAAATAATTTTCATGGCTTAAAAATTAGGGCCAATTATTTGACCTGTGACCCAAAAAATGCAAATACTGCACTCTGCCTTTGTCTTCTACAGTGTCTTCTTCCTGAGAAAATCTAATTTAATTTCTTCTTATTATATGTAGGCTATTTTTTATTGTTTGCATGTTTAAAAAGTAAAAATAGAGTAATTGAGAAAAATTCAAGGAATCCTCAAGTATTATTCTGTGAGCTTTAACCTATTAAGATAGCTTGACATATATATTTTGTAAAATGTATGTAAATCTATTTTTAGAATTAGAATCCTGACTTGTAAGTCTAGTGTATAGGATTTAGTGGCATCTAGCAATGTAATTGCAGATCTCAATTCCTTTACTTCACTCTTGCCTTCCAAGCACAAAGAAGAGACTATGGTGGCTGCAAAACAGACATAAAAATGTGAATTCCCCTGTCTACAGTGAGTGTTTGGTTTGTCCCTTCTGGGCTATTGTAGAAACATGGCAGTTCAATATGGCAGAATCTGTAGAAGGCGACCCGAAACATCTGTAGATAAAAACGGCTCATTCTAAGGTATAAAAACATAACAATTTGTATATTCAGGTGATTATATACTAATGAAAACATACCTATTAATATTGTTCAATTTCTGCCAGTAGATCCT